CTAGATACATCTAGAGAAAAACATACAACTTGACGACTAGTCTCACTTTAAATTCACCACTGCAAACTTCAGGTGGGTGCTTATCCCAGGCCTAGAAACTTTCTCATCTCTCCTGAAAGCTCTAATGTTTCTTCCTAATTCTCATTCTCAGATGAGGAAAACTGAAGCAATCATAAGAACGTCTAAAAGTACCCACAACCCTCCACATCTACCCACCTTCCTTCCAGCTTTTGTGCCATATTCTTTGCCTCCTCTCCCATGGCTGTAGCTGAACTATTGGCACTGATTTCACAGGCCACCCCTTCCACTGGGGCACCACATGCCATCCTCTCTCATCTGCTCAAGGTCTTTGCTCCAGCAACCCTCCCCTCTTGAACAACCAATTTTCCCTCTCTATTGGAGCTTTCCCATCAGTATACAAACACGTTACTTCTCCCACCTTAAAACCCTCTCTTGGACTTGCTGAAGTGCCCAGACACTAGTTTAGGTTAAGCTATGTAGATTTAATAGGGCAATTAAGTAATCATTTTATTGCAACCTATCTATATACTTTTTTACTTTATTTCATTTAATCATCTAAACCCTGTGAAGACTAATTTCCATTTTAGAGTTGTGATTTTTCTTAGTAACTTCAGGTGCAGCTTTCACAGCAGTGAAGCTCGCTAGCTAAGAGCTTGTGCTTGCCAGTCAGACTGCCTGCCTCACGACCCGGCTCCTCCACTTACTGTGCATCCTTGGGCGAGTCATCTATGCCTCATCCTCCCCACGTGTGGATGAGAATAAAAATATTACCTACGTTACAAGGGTGTTGGGAGGAGTCAGCTGATACATATTAATTAGAACAGCGCCTGGCACACAGGCAGTTTATAAGTGTTTGCTATTTTTATGCAGAAATGGCAAGACTTGGGAAGAAGCTAGTTTTGGACATGCATGGCCAGAGAACATTACCCTTTGCGTTATTACTTTTCCCCTGAGAACTCCGGTCAAAATAGACTTGGGAGAAGCCTTTGTACCAGGGATGTGATGGGAACTTAAGGAGTCTGTGCATGGTCTGGTACTAGTGGCCAGTTCCTGTCCCCTTCAGCAACTCATCTACCAGGGAAGAACCACTCTTCTGTCTTGGCACACTCTGACTAGCCTGTGAACTCCTTGGAGATGGAACCATGCCTTTCTTTGGCTTTAAACATTCAGGACCTAGCAAGGATGCTGCCTATCATGTTAGGTGCTGCACAAACACTTCTGGAATAAACACGAGTGCCCATGTACTTTTCCCTATGGGTAAGAATGGGACTGCCTTGTGTTCCCGGGATGCCTACTCGGCCATTCTGTGCTTGCTGACCACGTACCTTCAGGAGGAAGGTAAAAAATTCAAGTGCATGGGCCGGCCCCGTGGCTTAGTGGTTGGGTGCACGCGCTCCACTGCTGGCGACCCAGGTTCGGATCCCGGGCGCGCACCGACGCACCACCTCTCCGGCCAAGCTGAGGCCGCGCCCCAAATACAGCAACTAGAGGGATGTGCAACTATGACATACAACTATCTACTGGGTCTTTGGGGGGAAAAATAAATTAAAAAAAATAAAATTCAAGTGCCTGAACTATTCCCTGACTCTGCGCTGCTGAGAAAAAAAAATAGGTGGGTAATATTTATGAGTAATTCTGTTTTTTCCTGTGAGGCTTTAAGCTGAATATAAAATTCTGGTAACTGAGCCGTTTAAGAGGAAACGTGATAATATCCATTTCTATTCTCAGGTTGTAGAAATCCAGGACCCATTCAATCCCCCCATGGGTGTCACTATCAGCTTCTCGAGGGGGTGTGGCTTTACTCTTGGTGCAATCTTCTCTTCAATTTATACTAAAGAGATGGAGAGGCAGCTCCTCCCTGGATTAACCTATTCATTTATTTATATTTTGTGGCCATTGAATCCCTTAGTCAAACAAAACTTTAAAGTAAAACTGCTTCAGTTGACCAGTATGCGTACTTTCAGTTGGAAAACCACAGCCCTAACTCAGTAAACCAGGTATCGTTCCACACAGAATAGTGTGAAGTTAACTGAAATGGAACACTTCCCCTCTTGGCAAATCTAACTCCAGAGGGCCAGAATACATCTGTCCATCCTCTTTCTGTCCCTCTACACTGTCCTTGAACCTGAGACTAATTCATCTGGAACCACGGCCTGCTTAATGAAATTTCCTCGCTCCGATTCTCGGCTGAACATTAATGCATTTTCGGGCTCCCTTTTCATCTCATACAAGGAAACTGTTGACTTCTGCTTCTTTTGCTCACAAACCAGTAAGACCAAAATTTACATACAATTCTACTACTTATTAGCTAGTTGTCAAGAAAGGGTGAGAAACAAGGCCAGATCAGTACTGCCTAAATACCTTTAGAAGATTTTAATCATTATGTTTAGAAAGGCAAGTAGAGTAGACATAGGGAAGGGCAAAGAGAAAGGTCAGCTATCAGTGACTGGATCCTGCAAGACTTCAAGCCCGTCTCTAGCACCCCCACTAGACTGCTGAGGGAAGAAACTGTCCTCCCTATTTCCAGGGCCTGACACACTGTTGATCCTTGACCCCTTGCCTCATTATACTAGAGCCCCATCTCTTGCTTAACCTCTCCAGTTCCAATCAAATTTCCTTTTCCTATGGTACACTAGTCCCCTGGCAAGTGAAATGTGTGTTTTCAAAAATAATTCTTGTATTGGAATATGGAGTAAATCAGCGAGTCTTACCCAAACTTTATTTAACCACTTGCTCTGAGATAACAGACATTGACTCATGTCCATAGCTAGTAGGCTGTTAAGTCTATATTATTTGATTTCTACCAATTTTCACTTTAAAAAATTCTTGTTAAGTTAGGTGTGCGGAAAACTGGCAAAGTATCTGTAAAAATTCAAAGGAATTCTATACTCACCACATGTAAAAGACTCTAGTTTAGCAAACATCTGAAAGAAATGGCACAGGCTCCATCAACAATTTGGATGAAAAATAAATGTACACCTAAAATCAAGCAATAAACGTATCTATAATTTTTGATTTTGCACTCTGACCAGCCACCAGTCCAGAAAGAAAGATCTGAGAGCTTCTACTTAGGAATCCAAGTGGCACCATGTCATTTTCACCCTACCTAAGAAATGAGCTTCTACCCATCATACCCCAAGAAAGGCTAAAAATCAGTAGCACTCTTGGCTTGAAACCTACTGCCATTGTCTTCTGGGTATTTGAGGAAAACCATACACAGCCACTGCTTGGAGTGCCAACAGCAGACTCAGCCCTACACCTGAGCGTGTGAATGAAGACCAGCACAAGGAAAAGAGCCACAGAAACATTTCTCTTTGGAAACATAAAAGAAGCAACGTCCAAATGCTAAGATGGCCAGTGTAACATTAAGACATCATCATCCTGTGCTTTTTCTATTTCACTTCATAAGCAGAAATTTTATAACTGAAATTTCTTAAAGCACCTAAAATATAACCAAATGAAGATGCCTTTCACAAATAGGTCAACTGTGGTTAACTGCAGACTACGGATAGAAAAGAGATTGAAAATGCAATGTGAAAACACTAAAAATGCTAAGAAGCTATGAAATATGCCGCAATGGCAGCATGAAAAATTGCTGGTGACCTGTTAGAAAAGACCCACCTAATATATTTAAGTTCTGACAGTCTACTCTCAACTTTTTAAAATCTATGATACATTCTGATTCTACCTTCTATATCTTGCCTCCAGCCAAGAGTATGTGGGAGCTTTACTTTCTGTAATTCGTATTGTGAAAATAAACAAAATGCCTTTTCAAACTATACCCTCTTTTCATTCCCCAACCCTACTCTCCAGTCATTCTTCTATCAAAAAGCACAATTTATTATTAACTAATGAGAAAAACATGCCCTCCTCCCCCTTACCAGTGGTAACAGTTCAAGGAGCAGAGAATGTTCAGAAGTTTGTGACCAAACCTATTGTCAACTACTTACAACACCTTTCGGGTGACCTTGTCATGTCTGAGAAGCCAGAGACAAGATTTATATGACCAAACTGTGGAGTAGCATTTATACAAATATCTTAACATTCATTGGATATGCTTTTGTTGCCATTTTTTTTCATTGTAGATCCTAGCTAGACAAGGGCCTAAGGTATTAGGGGTGTTTCAAGTTAATACAACCAAGCAGGACATAGCCAGTGGCTTGCCAGTGAAGATAATGCAAGCTATATATAGAAGGACTGAACTTAAGGACTAGAATATGAAAACCAGTGGCAATGGAAGTGACTTAGTAAGAAGGCAAATATGTCAAGTGGTGACTATACCTCTTTGGTACAGGTTTGTTTTCCCAACTTTACCCATCATACCAATTTAGAGCATATTTTGAGAAAACCCTTAGACTGAAAAGCCTGGACATCACGGTAGGGCTTATTAGTACTTGAGTATTTCACATGTTTAAGAATCACAGTATCTATGAGTAAAGAAGGCACATAGGTCATTAGTTATGGACTCACTAGCTTTCCTAAAGATGGGTCTGGAAGCCATGTGTTCTGCATATGAGATTTTAGGCAACTAAAATCCCTCAGTACTTCACCTCACAAATTGAGTAAATAACAAATCCCTTACAGTCTGCTTGTGTAGATGATGGTGGCTATGTATGTGCTAGCAAAACATGAAAAATACAAATGTAAGTAGAGATCTATTTTGGGTCCTTCAATTTCTGCCCAGAAGAATGGTGAACCTATTTTCTACATTCACCACTTTGCACCATCAAGAAAGACTTCACTCTTCCTCCTCGATAAGACTGTTTTCAACATGAGTATGGCTACCATAAGAACAGGGGCCATGACTTATCCTCCATGACAACATTTACTTTGACTAAATAAGCTTTATAGTTCTTGAAAGTCAGAAATCAAGTCTTTGGATGATAATCTTTTTCTAGGGCATACTGTACTCTTGTTCACTATTTTTGACACATGACAGACCTTCTTCAGATTTTAGCAAGAGATGAGAAGCTCCAAGATTCATTATTTAGAGAATACTTTATTAGTTTCTGTAATCAAACCCATGTAGATAAGACCTTACATATTTAATACAGTGCGTTACCCCTGTACAAATGGAAAAAATTATGTTTAATGTTTCTAGACCAATATGGCTGTTAATTTCTGTACAATGCCAACCCAACACGGTACAACTGGGATACTTTTTCCAAAGTTGACAGCACAGCTAAAGTTTCCAAAAATTCAAATTATATATATATGTATATATATATATATTTATTTATATAAAAAGATCAATAGCAGTATGTTATGCATCAATAGCAGCAACAGCTTTTCCAGGTTCTGCAGTCATCTGAACAAAATTATAGGACATCCAGCACACTCCATTAAAAAAAAAGAAGAAAAAAAAAAAAAAAAAGGTAAAAAACAAAACCCCAGAAAACAGCAAAGTTCTGTTACTGTTGTGGTACCTGGCACCATTTTTTTAATTAGCTTCTGAATCATCATCTGGAAAGAAAACATTCTAGAATAACATCATTAAAAACAGCTCTGATAAAGCACAGTCACTACTACGTATCATGAAGCAGGTACAAGATATTTTACATTCACAGAGGTATGATACAGTACTGTCCTACATCTATAATACTAAAGGATACAATTAAAAAGGCATTATTTGAGACTTGATTCTACTTTTCCAGCAGAGGGCCCAAAGAATGGTATGACACAGCTCTGGTAAAGAAATGCACCTTCTTAGATAGGATTTCCTTTCATTAGTGGCACAGTTCTAAGTACTCACTGCTCTTCATGAATATCACATAAAAACCGTTTAAAAAAAACCCAAAAGCCATTGGATTCATACAAAGATGACCGAGTGGAGGCAAGCAAGACTCAACTTAACTTTATCAATCTGTCGGGTTTGAATGGTAAGAGCTCCAGGAAGAAAGGAGATGCCAAGTAGCACTTCAAAGCTTCGGGCCACAACCAAAACACAGCATCATTTCAAAGAGAAGCGCTTGCCCACTTGGATACATTCAAGGATTCTGATATCAATATTTCATCATCCGCTCACTCATCCAGGAAGAAGGGGAGATCAGTTATGGTACTTTGATTGTGTTCAACTCAATCATCATGTTACAAAAATAGCAAGCTGCCATAATAAAAAATAAGGCTCCTCTATCCAGCACCAGTTATCTTCAGTTCTTCACCACCAAGCCTACAAATGCTATAACTATATCCAAATAACATAACGGAGCAAAGAAACCACATCTATTGGATTAGCTGGGATCACCACATTGTTCAGGCTGAGCTATTCCTCTGCAGTGTTATTTTCCTCATATTTCTGGTATTTCACCTAACCATAAGGATTTTAGCTCTAAATTATATGCACTCAAGGAATGTGTGCACACATTTCTATATAAACTCTGACTGAAGATGCATGGCCATCAACAAAATGCCTGTTATATAGTAGGTGCAAGCTGGCAAAGCCTCACTTTACTGGTGCAGCAGCTGTGTGTCGGTATAAATTGCTCCTATGCCCCTTGCGCACCTCCAAGCTCTGGACAGGATAATGTCACCGACCGTTTTACCTGCTGGCATTATTTGACTTCATGCTCCCTCTTTCCCCTCTCCCCTCCCCCAAGCCCCTGCAATAAACCCAGCCTTTAAGATTTTGTTTCTTCAGTTTTGATCGCCTGAGGTTTGATTGGTCCAGTTCTGACAGGTTTGGTGGCTATGGCGGGTGCAGGGGGTGACTTTTCTTCTCCTTTTTCCTGACAGACACCAGGAGCGTCAGTCAGTGTTTCAGGTTTACTGGAATCACTGTCCACTTTCTGGGCTTTGCCTCCTATCTGTTTGCTCTGTTGCTGTTCAGAGAAGAACCGTTGCGTGGACTGAAGAACCTCTGCTCTCTGCTTTGCCTTAAAAAATGAGAAACAACAACTGAGAATGCTGCAGCGTTACCACCGCCTGTCAATCCATCTCAGGTCACACTCTGTCACCAATCACAAAGCAGTTCTCCCCACGCTGGTTTGGCCCAAACCAAACGTACCTCATTGATCTTTCAGCTTTTAATGGACAGATTTCTTCCTATCTTTGAAAACATTCCATGTGATTTTTTTTTTAAACATTTGAAAAGAACAGGACCACCTCCCACCAACTTTTCAAAGTTTGCCCTCTTATAAAACAATAAAACAGAAATTGCTGTTGGTTTGTATCTTTTCTGGAACAAAGCTTATTGATATCAAATTTTATTTAGGGAACCTGCTTGCGAATTTGAAAACATATATGTAACACTTAAAACTTCTAGTTATCAATATGTGGTCTATAATAAAATGAAAAGGAAGCACTTATATTGTGGCATTACCAACACCTAGGACCAAATGTCTTGTGGCTGAGTCCTCTTCCCACAGCTCTCTTCTGCAGGGGAAGAGCATCAGAAATTAGTAACTACAACTTCACTTGATCACTAAGTTCTGATAGCTCCTACCACATTCTGAGCTGGTAAAATAATTTCCTAGTTTTATCGACTACGTGACCCAAAGAATATACTTACGTCAATCTGTAAATTATACCACTGTAACATACACAATTAAAACTTAAGTTTCTATACCTCTTGCATATAACAAAACCCCTTCATGTTCTACAGATAACCTGTACTATCCAAAGAGCTGAAGCAATTTTCAAGAAATTTGTCCCCTCCCCCACCCCATTAGTAGGCTCTAATGTCATTTCTAACACGGGAATGTATGAAAATCAACTGCCAAGGAGCCAGGAGAAAAACTGGAAACCAAGGTCTAGTAGTTTCCGAAGATCTCTATACATACTAGTATTTTTAACAGTTATAAACAGATGGAAATCCTAGGCACAAAGCCTTAATAAAAGTAGATAATATTTAACGAGTTTCACTACAGGGCAGTCTTTAAATTTGATTACTCAGGCTCAGAAACAAGGGATATCAACCCAGAAAGAAACTTTAGTCAGTCAACCAAATTCTCTAATAGGATTATCATAAACATGTTTCTAATTCAGAGTAAAGCATTACTGTGGACATTTCCCTGTTTGAAAGCATTAAGCTTTTCTTTGTTCTAGTCTGATCTGAGATACACAGTGACAAAATAAGCAAAATTACTAAGACCTCTAAAGTCAAGACTAAGTAAATACAGAAAAAAACTGATTCAGCTGGCTGTACAGGCAGACAGGTAAGGTTTATGCTATAAAAACTGTCCCCACACAGACTCCTAAAGGCACTCTTCTGCATCAGCAAACCTCACATTTATCAGTGCCTTTTATCATGAAGGATCCCAAAGTGCTTTTTTGAGTTCTTCATCTACAAATACACATTCTATTGGGGAATACAGTCACCTCAGGTGGCAGGCAAAAAAGGGTATGAAAACAGTTTGAGAAGAAAACTGTACTTGGATGACTTACGAGGGAAGAAAAATCAAGACAGGTAACATGTCTTACCCATTCCAGAGTTTTCACATAACCATGATCTATATTTTAAGCTCAGGGAGGGGGAAAAAAAAAAAGAAAAAAAAAGAAAGAAAATGGGGAAGTCTATAATAACCCATATTATTTTGCTCTTTCAAAAAATGTAGCAGCTAAACTCAGATCTCCCTCAAATATTTACTTCATAAACAATTCATTTGGCCACAGAGTTTAAAATGTTAACTTGTTTGCTGACTATAGATGCAAAAAGAAAAAAAATAAAAAAGAAAAAAAGAAAAAAGAGGAAAAAAGTAGGGGGAATAAGGGGGGAAAAAAAAGAAATTAAAAAAAAAAAAAAAAAAAAAAAGTAATGAATAAAAGGAGATAGCTTGGTTAAGTCTGCCAAGGCAACGCAGGCCTGGATATACGGTTATGGGTCCAGAGGCATCTTAAGACATGGTTCAGAGACAGATTCTTGCTCTGTTGGCTGTTAACACTGTACTAACCTTCA